ATATATATAATATATATATATATTTATATACATTTTTTCATGTAAAAACAATTTTTAGAAATTTTTAATATTGAGAACGATCCGAAATGTTGGATCAAAATGCCTATAATTGTAGCTTTATATTAATCTTAATTATACACGTTCATCTTATGTTTGGCTCTAATTGACAAATTGAAATTTTGGTTACTAATTTTATTTCTTTTCTCTTTTTAACTTGTATTATTAAAATAAAGGACAAAATCTTTAAAAAATAAATAAAATTTAAGATACAGCTACTTAAAATAAAGGATTGGGTTTTACAATAAATGACGTATGATTACTGTATGGATAGTTACTAGTATTTGATTTTATTTACGTTTACGTTACTCATAATACGATTCATATGTATAAATTTTCAGTGAATGCAATGACCGATTAGTCCTATATACTTATATACATACCATAAGCAAGTACTCGGCTGCAGTTACGCGTCCTTAATTCTTTTAACTTTATCCGAAGTTAAAATCAACCATGTCTTAAAATCATCATATTCCATTGTATGTCATTATGTAATGTAACAATTGATTTCGATCAATTGTACAGAAATACAGTTTTAATTTCAATATGTATGAAACATTGAGGAACTAAATTTAAATGTTCGATGTTTAATATCTTCAGAATATCTTTATCTTTTAGAATATCTTTCGTGTGTGAAGCATTGAACCGTAATCATTTTAATCATTGAATTTTAATTGTTGTATTTTTATTTGTACCACTTATCACGACATAAATAATTATATCGTACATTTATAATGTAAATGCGTTACTTTTATATAACATGCTTTACATCTCTATTGTTCAACTATTGTAATTATGAGCAGCAAATGAAGTTGCATAATTCGCAATGTAACAGATATTTTTAAATCAGATTAAAAAAATTATTTTAGTGTATAATTATCTTACGATATTTTTTCCAGGCATTTGCACTACCAATGACGTGGACGCGCTTTTGTATCATATGAATAACGCGAGGTATCTTCGCGAACTCGATTTTGCGAGAGTCGACTTTTACGAAAGGACTGATCTCTACCGAGAAGTTTGTTCTCAAGGATCAGGTGTTGTACAAGGAGCTGCCACTATACGCTACAGGCGTTTCATCAAACCGCTAACAATCTTTAAAATAACATCTAAGGTAATTCAAGAAATTTAAATTTGAGTACGTGTAACATTTTTTCTCTTCACAGGTGAAGAGAAAAAAATTCTTACTTACACAAGAAATGTAAACACAAGAAAAAAAAATATCAGTTTATTACGAGAGTTTGTAATATACTTGTTACAATAGTAATTAATAGATTAAGAATTTTTTTTATTAAAAAACTACATTTCGAAGCATGCGCTTTTGTTGCTAACGTTTAAATAACTATCATGTATATCACTGAAGTTTGTAAAACCAATTCTTGCCGAATTTAGGTTGTTTTTCTCGAAAATAACATCTTTTATACAAAGTATCAATCGCACACATTACATTGGTCTGCCACAAGAAAATTGAAACGTTGCATATACCGGATGCGAATAACAAACGCGTCGATAGACGCGTCAGTTATTTTTTTTTCAATGCATTCATGATCCTAAAGTAAACGCCATTTGATTTCGTAATTGCAATGCACCACGCGATCGTATGACGCACAGTCTCGAAACTCACGGTTCTTCTTATGGAGATTTAATGTCCCTAACAAACGCACTCAACTATGCATTGCAAGAGACAAGGTTATATATCAAGGCCAAATAAATGCATGAAGGGCGGTCGTATACATTTACGCAAACCAAATACGGACAGGGCTGTATTAAGAAAAGTTGCACCCAGAGGTTTGTAATCTTTGAGCGCTCTCTCTCACTCTAATAACAACAACATTTCTAACGCCCTTTTTTTCCAGTAGTGTTTCATTACCCGTACATGGATTACCTCTATTTTCATTACCAATGTTCACATTGCACGTTTCATGTTTAAAACGAAAATATTTATACGTAAACTCGAAGCGACCCACCTACAATCAAAGTTAAATGTCAAACTAATACATCCATACTTATATACACGTACCATGTATATGATGTAAGATACCGTGGTATCTAAATAAATTTATCTTAGAAATATGACTATATGCTCCTTCATGCTTTCAATCTGAAATGTTATATATATAGATTGTATAGATATATACAATAATCCCTCCAAATTTAATTAGAAGCATTTTAAACTTGTAAAGATTTAGGTCCTGCGCACAATAGAAGGAATTAGGAATAAAGAATAAACGATTTCAACCTATCAGAAACCGTGTATTCCGATGTATCCGATTTCTGATAGGTTAAAATCGTTTATTCTTTATTTCTAATTCCTTATTGCTTCTATTGTGCGTAGGATCTTATTGCGAAAAATATTATCTCGGCCGGGATATATTTATGAAATAAATTCATTTACAAATACATGTACGAGAGTTAACCAGAAAGTAAGTTCCGATGGTTTATTTAAAGAAAACAAATATATACTTACTAAAAATAGTGTAAGGTGTGTATTTTAAAAAGTAATAAAATTTTATTACTTTTTAAAATACACACCTTACATTATTTTTTTATATAGACTGTGTTCCAAAATTGACTGCCAGTACTGAAAATCTAGTGCACGTGACGTAAACTGTAGCATTTTCAGTGCTGGCAGTAAATTTGGAACATAGCCATAGTTGCCGCTGTTGCCATCGTTGTTGATGCACTTATTATTAGCAGGGCACTAGGCGTTGTATCCTTTCGTCATAGAAAGTTGCCGCCTGTAAGGTAAATTATATGGTGGGCAGCTTCTTTGATCTCATTGTCATCGTGGAATCGTCGGCTAGCAAGCTAGGATTACAAATTAATTTTTTTTCAACTGCACACATCAAATCATTAATAACAGATATGGTCACCCGCTCTATTCATGCATATTTTTGCATCTTTCATCATCGTCTTTTCCAAAGTCGTACCCATCTCCGTACTATTAAATCACTCGATTATTGCATGTTCTCCATATACACATTTCACAAATTTGATGATGAATTTCAGCCGCATTAATATTCTGCGCATTTAAGAAATGGATTCAGATCGTATTTTACAAACGGCAGGCGTCGCGATTTGTTTAAACATTATAAACACACTTTACAACGCGTATGCACTGAGCCAATAATTGAAAGTCACGTCAATCCCTTGCCAGCGAATCAACAAACTCGGCACGTATACTGCAGTGCATTAATTCGCTGGGTCATAGTAGCGGTCTGACTTATCGATTTATTTTTTATTCAAATACTATCATCCTTACAGAGAAACTGTAAGAGACAAAAATTATTTATTTTCTTCTCATAGAACTCCAAGAATTTTTTCAGAATTTTTTATTAACTTTTTAGTATTGCATTTTCTTATTTTCGATAAGTAAGACCGCGCTACTATGACCCAACGAATTAATAATACGTACATATTTACATAGTTTTTTAAATGTTTCTTTTAACTATTAAATGAAGTAGAATTCATGATATATTTTTACGGTATAACTTTTTTTTAACTTAATTGAGAATTAAAACAAAAAATTTCTTATTCATAATTATGAATAAAATAGCATTTATGATGTGTTTTAAATGAAACAATAGATTTTCTACTCACATTGAATAGTATTTATGGCCCATTTTAAGAAAATGGACCATTTAAAAAAAAACTTTTTTTTTATTCAATTGGATTAAAAACTGCATTTCCTATTCCAGAATTTTCAATTTAACAGTATTCACAATGCACAGAAATGGCTGAAATTATTTTCTACTTCTAGAATTTTGAATTTAATAGTATTTACAATGCAAATGAAATGGTTGAAATTATTTTTAGATTCAACTGGATTGAAAAACTGTATTTTCTATATAAGAATTTTTAATTAAGCAGTATTCATGATGCACACACAAAATACTATAATATTATTTTTAGATTGAAAAGTATAGAAATATACTTCATACCATTCCTATAAATGAATAACAATGCATTCAAGATTGAAAAGGATTTCTCTTCTCTCAGTCTGTGATGATCCGCACTATTGAACGTACATAATAATCGACACATAATGTCTTATACTCTGTGTTCCTTCTTTCTGTATATATTCCAAAAGTTTTTTATTCTTTTATAGACACGCTCGTTTGAATATTTTACACATGATTTCTGGTGAGTTTTTATTTTTTATTATTGTAGATTTCCGGTATGTTAATTTATTTAAGAGACAAAAATCATTAATTTTTTTCTCATAAAACTAAGAATTTTTTCGGAATTTTTTATCAACTTTTTAGTACTGTATTTTTTTATTTTTGTCAATATGAGAAAATACGGTATTAAAAAATTCTGAAAAAATTTTGAAAAAATTTTCAGAACTTTATGAGAAAAAAAATGATTTTACTTAAGTTTGAGAAAGAAAATTAATGATTTTTGTCTGTTGCAGCTTTTCTATAAAGTTGATAATATTTCAGTAAAAAATTATTCAAGATCAATATTTGACAATTTTTAGTAATTAATATCTTGTTAATTATTGCCAGAATTGCAAAATAGTAGAGGACTTTTCGATTCAGTTTAATTTGCTCTATCTATACAAAAGCGATTGGCAAAAACTTTTGAGACACCCTATATGTATATATTTGATGTATATATATTCGACTATCCAGGTAAAAATATTCCATAACATTATAGATTTGTCTTAAAATCTGCATACATAACTTTATTGGAATTTTAGAATTTACTTTAAATGTAGTATAGAAAAATTTTTAGGCAGTGTGTA